ATGAATCTGGTGATTTATCTAGTGAAATTATTGGGTGTGAATCTGTCTTTTGAGTTTACTTCTCCTGGTTTAAAAACAGAGCATACTTACTGAGAATTGTACAATTTCCACTTCAATAGAATTTGAAGTTAGATCTATTCCCACTCCATAGGTAAATAGTAGGAGTCTTATTTTTATAACCATCAAGCTCTTGTGGTGCTGTTATATTTGAAAAAAACTAAGTATGATTTTATATATTATACTCATCTATTGTTTTTATAATATGATTCTTATACTTGATGTTAATCAATGTATTATGTATACTATATAGGACTATTCATATGAACTTAAACAAAGGATATAGATGAAATACAGTGTAATATTAGTAAGCATGCTAAACCCCTTCTGTTTATACTGTATTTAAATGATTTAAATTTATTCATTGATTGTGAATTTGTGAAGCTGTTTATAGATCATACTTTGTCAGCTTGTTATAGTAAGGATATAAACATTTCTATTCATAGAATGAATGTAATACTTGGAGCAGGGAATAAGTATTTTAAATCATCTATCTATCTATCTATCTATAGCCCAAAATCTATTCATGTGTTGAATATAGGCCTCTCCCATTTGTCTCTGTTTTCTGTTTGACTTTTCCACATTGGACCTGCGCTTTGCTCAATTTCATCTTTCCAACTCATTTGCGGACAACCTCTTGACCTTTTTGCAGTATATGGTCTCCAGCGGCCAATTTCTTTATTCCATCTTCCATCCTGATATCTTTCGTTATGCCCAGCCCATTTCCATTTTAATTTCAATGCATGTTCGACAGTGTCTGTTGTTTCGGTTTTGCATCTAATCCACTCGTTCCTCTTTTTATCTCTCAACAATATTCCCAACATTTGTCCTTCCATAGCTCTTTGAGTTTTCTTTATTCTATCTAAGTTGCTCTTGGTACACATCCACGTCTGGGCACCATATGCATAGGTAGGATGCATGCATTAAATACCTTCATTCTTAATTTTAAAGGTATTTTTTGGTTTTTGATAGTATATGAGAGTTTTCTGAATGCAGCCCACCCCATTCTTATGGTTATTTCCTTAGTCTGGTTACTTTTGTCTGCTCTGATAGCTTGTCCTAAGTAAATATATTCTTGGATGTATTATATGTTCCACCTATGGTAATTACTGATCTGTCTTCTGTATTAGTCATTATTTTAGTTTTCTTTAGATTTATTTTTAGTCCTTTCTCAAGAGATGTTTTTTCTAGGTCTGAAATCATTATTCGTAGTTGTTCCATAGTTCCATATTTCCCACCTTTTCCCCGTTCCACCGACCCCTCGTTCGTCACAATCGGACCAATAGATTCGGAGATACGTTATAGTGCCGTTTTGGCATTGATTTTGTTTCTTGTTTTTGTCTTGACATATTTCCCACCTTCTCCCCGTTCCAACGACCCCTCGTACGTCACAATCGGACCAATAGCAATGAAGATACGTTTTAGCGCTCATTTGGCAACGCCGCCATCTTTGTTTTTTTGTCTCAACGTGACTAAAATGACTAGCGCCGCATAGCGGATAATAGTCAAACTATGGCGTCATCGGTTTCGATGCAGATCCAATGCTTACCGACATTGGCGCCAGAGTAGTTCAAATGTCCCGTCCTGTCTGGCCCAAGCGACCCATTCTCTACTACCTATAAAAATATGGAGTTGTTGCTATCAGGATTACATCATCAGCGATTCTTAGATGATTTAAATATTTCCTGTTTATACAAATCCCTTTATTGTCCCAGTCTATAGATTTAAAAATGTCTTCCAACACCAGAGTAAATAGTTTGGGTGAGATTGTATCCCCTTGTCTGACACCTCTACAAATTCTAATTAATGAGTTTGCAAATCTCTGTCTAGCTGAATTCTCATCGGAGCTTTATTTCTTTTCATATCTCTAATTGCTTTTTCCATTTCTTCTCCGGATATGGGGGTAATATTTCAAAGTTTTCTTTTATAATATATAATATTTCAGAGGGGGTAATATTTCAGAGTTTTATCTTTTCCCCTCCTTTTTTTGACATTTAAATTAGAATTTCATCGTCTCCCAGAGCCTTATTTCTTTTTATATCTCTAATTGCTTTTTCTATTTCTTCTCCGGTTATGGGGGTAATATTTCAGAGTTTACATTCATTATTTTCTTTTTCAGGTTTTGTTGAGTTCTGTTTTCACCTATAATCTTCTCAATTTGTTCTTCTTGAAGCTGTTGAGAATCTTGTTTTATATGTCTTCTTATTTCTGTATTAAGGGTTTTGTATTCAGTTGTATTTCTTTTATTTTCTTGTAGTAGGCTTCTCCATAGTTGTAGCATGTCTAAAGATATGGCACTTAGTTATGGTTAGTTATATGGTTTTTGTTTGTTAATATGTAGTCAATTTCATTTTTAGTGTTCCCATCTGGTGACATCCACATCCATTTCCTATGTGGTTTTTTCTTGAAGAGTTCATGGCAAATTTGTTGTTTTCTAGATAGTTAACCAATAGATCTCCTCTTTCATTTCTTACTCCATATGCAAATTCTCCAATACAGTGTTCATTTTCTTCTAGTTTTTTGCCCATTTTCGCATTAAAATCACCTATTATAATCGTGTAGGTATTTTAAATTAACTAAACTTAAATTGAATGTGACTGAAGACGAAAGTCATGATAGTTACCTAAATTTGAATAAGTTTAGTAAAGTTTTTTATTCACAGTAGCCAGAATTGAAGTTGTCCAGTGTATCAAATATCTTGGTTTTCAAGTATATAGTTGTCTAGTGTTTAGTAATCACCTTGAGTACATAACTAAAAAAATATCAAAAGATTCTAAAAGAAAGCAGAAGATCCAAAACTAACACTTAGTTGATTACCAACATTTAGTTGATTAACCATGCTTAGTACTTCAGATTGGTTATCTGTTAAGCAAAAGATTTATTCTTTATCACTGACTTGATGTTATAAGATACTAAATAGTCTGGCTCAGTCTTATTTTAATGAATGTGTTTCTCTTAATTCAGATTCACATGAATATTTTACTAGATAAATCAACCAGATACATATTTATAAAACAATTTCTTCAAAATATCTTGTTTTTATAAGTTTCAGTGACTTTTATAGGCCACCAGATGATATTAAATATTCTCCAAATATTTTTATTTCTAAGAAAGAACTCATGGACAATGTGAATTAAATAATTATATTGTATGTCAGATTTTATGTAAAATTCATTGTTTTCTATTTTTGTATACTCAAATGTTTCTGATATTTACTTAACCAAAATTAATATAATATATGTTATATGTTAAAACTGCTCTCCTTAAAAGGTAAGAAAATGGACATAGTGTCCTTTACCTCCGAGGTACGGAAATACCACTTTAATCAAATAAATAAGCCTTTATCAATTCTACATCCACTTTTTTGAAAGTTCTCTTTGAAAGTGAGTTTTCTTACTAAAATGCAAACATTTTTCTGTTGACTTCAGATAATTATACAGTTTACTTCAGTTAAGAACTGTGTACTACCCTTTCTTAATATGGCTAATTATATTGTAAGTTACTAATAGTTAAAGAGGATGCTTAACTGGATGGTCTTGTAATCATAATGATGTATTACTTTTCTTTTTATATTTTTAGATAAATTACTTAATATTTCAATATATTTACTTTGTCCATTATCAATACTGATGACATTTTGATTCATCTTAATTGTTTTTAGGAATTTATTTCTACAAAAACTTCCACTAGCTTGATTCTAATTATACTTCCATATGTTCCTTTAAAATCAATGAATAGAACTTCAGTTAGACTTTCATATTTAAAAATATTTATGACTAGAACTTTTCTTAAAATTTCATATTCACAACTACAAAACAAATAATAAGTAAGTATCTATGTTAACACTAATGGTGCAATTCCTCCCAAGTTTTTACATTATGTTATTATTTTTCTTATAAATACACATCAATTTATTTAGATATATAGGTATTATTACACTTACATATATTATTATCTTCAATATTCTCATTAATATTAACTATCAAAGTATTGCCAATTTCTTGACTTTAGGTTTAAAAATTCCCGGAGTTTATATTAAAAATTAGTAATTATTATGATTTATTCAAACTTTATAATTACATCAAACACAGTTTATATGTTTATCTATAAAACAATAACATTGTAGGATAACAAACTTGATACACAGTAAAAATTTAACTATGATTTAAAACTTAACTTACCTCTGATAGTGGCAATTCAATTTTAACTTCCTGTTTTCCATCTGTAATATTTTTCTGAAGAATACTGTCAAGGAGTAAAACACCATTGTAGTCAGACCTCACACCCAATGCTTGCCCATCTGTGAATAACACTCTGTCCAAAGATGGAATGTACTTGCACTTAACATTCGATAGATTTTGGGCTAAAAATTATCCAGAAATTATTATTTTATTAACTGTAATTCATATAAAGATGTTATAATACCTGAGAGAGAGCTGGAGTGAAGGATTACACCAGAATTTACGTCTAAGACGCTTACCACTCCGGTTTGTGTACAAATTAAGATGACATTAAGATATGGATGGTAAATTATTTCTTTTACATCTATATCTACATTTAAATAACCATCTTCATTTAAAATCCACTGTTCCTCAGCCATTTTGCTAAAAACATCTTGCGCCATGAATATATGACATTTGTGTCATCTGTCTGTAAAAAATGTGATTAGCGGGGATTTTTGTTTTACCAATACAAAGTTTCATACAAACCTAAAATTACGTTGTTGTACATCCACCTAACCTTAATACCTTCAAATAATATGACATCTACAGTTGTTCATAATCAAATTGTAGAATTTTTAAAGTAAAAATGAATGTAACTTTTTTTATATAGTTTAAAAGTATAAATAATTGTTTTCAAAAACATTGGATTGTTGTCTTAAAAACAACAAAAAGAAGATATTGAATTGACGTATGACAGCGGCGCCAAAATAAGTTAGGAGTGAAAAGTTGATTATTTAAAAATATTGTTTTAATTCGAAAAGCAAAATGAATATGTTGTGGGCTGATAAATATCGTCCTAAGGACCTATCAAGTGTAGATTACCATACAGAGCAAAGTGTGAATTTGAAAAATCTTACAAAAGATGGTGATTTTCCCCATTTGCTTATATATGGTCCATTGGGGGCTGGTAAAAAGACTCGAATTATGTGTTTATTGAAAGAGTTATATGGTGCTGGAGTAGAAAGATTAAAAATGGAAATGATGCATTTTACCACTCCTTCAAACAAAAAGTTGGAAATTATGACTTTGAACAGCAATTATCACATAGAAGTAAATCCTAGTGATGTAGGCATTTATGACAGAGTTGTGGTTATGGATATAATAAAAAATGTTGCACAAAGTCAGCAGTTGAATGTTAATGCCCAAAGAGAATTTAAAGTTATAGTACTTACTGATGTAGATGACCTCACAAAAGATGCCCAACATGCCTTGAGAAGAACTATGGAAAAGTATATTGCAAACTGTCGTATTATACTTTGTGCAACATCAATATCGAGGGTAATACCTGCTATTAGATCTCGTTGTTTGTGTATTAGAGTACCAGCACCTTCAGAGGAAACTATAATTAGTATATTACAAAATACATGTAAAAAGGAAGACCTTCAGTTACCTACAGAGTTAGCAAAAAGAATTGTTGAAGTATCTAATAGAAATTTAAGACGAGCACTACTAATATGTGAAGCTTGCAAAGTTGAACAATACCCATTCACACCTAATCAAAAGGTTGCTGAACCAGACTGGCAATTATTTATAAAGAAAACTGCAAATAGAATACTACAAACGCAAAATATTGAGACATTATCAAAAGTACGAGAAAATCTATATGAGTTACTTAGCAACGGGATTCCTTCTGATATTATATTTAAGACACTTTTAGAGGAACTTTTAAAAAAATGTGATTTTTCTATCAAAGCTAGAGTTGTAGAAGAAGCTGCAATTCATGAACATAGGATGGTTCAAGGAAATAAAGCTATCTTTCACTTAGAATCATTTGTTGCAAAGTTTATGTACATTTATCAAAGCATGATGCAAGAAATGATGGGAGATTTTTAATAAAATTTGTACTGTTTTAATCTTTTGTATTTTCTAATAAAATAAAAATAATTTTTTAGTTTTATTTATCAACCAAAACCAATTTAATCTTTAATTTCATTGTTATCCTATGTAGTCATAGCTTTTAGTATATTTAAAAAGGTAAGTGTTTTTAAAAGTAATAACTGGACACAACAGGTTCTAGATATGAGTAATCAGTTTATTTATTATAAGGCAGAATTATACTTTATAATATTACAGAAATTATGTGATACAGGTGTAGATGGCTTATAAATTCAAAATGCTAAAAACTTTAGAGCACATAGCTCATCTAGAATTTGCCTCTGAGGGGGGGATTTAGCTGGGCACCAAAATGTGAGTAACAGTGTCAGGTATTAACTCCCAAACCCCCCCTACTGTGTGCCCCAATGTTTAGAGCACCCAGTGATTAATGGAAACATTGTGGCATATAGATTCTTTACTAACATTCATTGTCACCTAAGTTTTTCAGTTGATCTCAAATGACTGGTAAAATGATTTTCAGATTTCTTTGGAATCTGATTGTTACTATTAAAACAAGTGATTTTTACTACAAAAAACACTGAATTTGATTTTTAGGGAAAATACATATGTACAATCATTTTTGGTAAGTACCTATTTTATTAGTGGTAAATTATTAAAATAATCTACACAAAAATCCCCGTTTACATCACAAGAATTGCACACATACCTATAGTGTTGTTTTTCTTTTGGCTTCTGCATTTTTTACACACTTCTCACAATTCATTTAGTAACTTTTGATTCCACAGGATTATCAAAAATCGATTTCTGGATATGTACTTAGAAGACTGAGATTTGTAAAATCTATGTGTATACTAATGGAGATATTAATGCAGAAATAAGGAAAGAACAAATATATAGACCATACATCGGAAAATGCAGTGCTTATGAGCAATGATAGTTGTAATAGTATTCAGAACTTCCAAGGTTATGATCGTTGAAAGTATCTAGTTTCTTCACAAGAATAGACATCCATAAAGTAACATGGACTTCGCCTGATGAAACAATAAAAAATTAAATAGATCACATCCCAATAGAAAACAGGCACTTTTCTAATCTAATTGATATAGCACTCACTACAATTTAAAACTCTTGAAAGAGCCCTGCACATTAGAAAGGTATCAAAATTACCTTAAAAATGAAAACAGAATAGATGAGAATTTAATAGCTAGCGAGCAATTAAATATGTAGAAGAACAATTCAGGAAGCGGCAAATGACGTCGACCAGAAGGATTTACTCATGCAACGGTTGGTTCTGTGATTAATGTGATGATATTACTAAAAGAAAAAAATAACTTATGCAACAAAGAAGAACACGGGATTAAGAAACAAAAGATGGAAACGTACCTACATAGAACTTAGGTCAGGAAGCAGTTTGAAGAAAAAAACGGACCTTTGAAAATCATTTTGTGCAAGAGCTTCAATTAGTAAAGTGGCAAAATGAAACTATAAAGTTGTTTAACGTCCTAAATACCAGAGAGCCTTCAGAATACCTCAAAACCAGAGGGACAAGAAGTAGAGGACGACCACGAAGGAGATAGATTGATGATATGGAAGAAGACCTACTCAGAAGATGGGAGGAAGTTGCCAGGAATCTAGAGGATTGGCGACTTCTTTGTGAGCAGGCCAAGGTCCACAACGGATTGTCGAGCCACTTACTATGATGAACGTCCTAAATAACACAAGAAAACAATTTAAATCACGGTTGACGATGTGTAGGGACAAAAATGGACATATAGTTAGCATCAGTGACGCAGTACAAACCAGATGGGTTGAGCACTTCATAGAACTACTTCATACCGAAGTGGAAAATGATACGTAACTCCAAAGATCAAGAAATAAAACCCACGTAGAATTTCTTTCAATATTGGAAGTGAGCTACGCAATCACACACCGCAAAAATAACAATTCATAATTGTTTCTTAATATTGTTCTGAAGCTATTTTCTTGTGGCATTGTAAGTTAATAACTATTTAACTGGGAATAAGCCACAATTAAAGATAAAAATACTTTTATTGACGTTTCAATTTCCACTTCGTAATCGTTCGGAAATCGTTCTCAAAATACAAACAGTAAATTGAGTTTATCAATTTACTGTTTGGACATCCTGTATAGGACATTGTATTCAAAAAATGTCTAAAATGATCTGAGGAATCCAAAAAGTAATTAATATACAGAGTGTTCTATTTAAAATAAGCAAGTTGGTATTGGCCACCGTTATCTGACACACCCCGTATAAAAAGTTTTTATGGAAAAAAATGCGCAACTATAAATACTAATCGACGTGTTCGAGCGTTTTTTCGAATACCCCCTCATTTATTTATTAGCTAATTTATTCCATTTGGCTGACACACAGTGTATATTGTACGAACTTTAAACTATATTTACACATTATATTCATTTAAATATATTTTTATATCCTATTATTTGCAAACAAAATGCGAAACCAAACTTATGTCACAGGAATATGAATTATAATATTTTAGGAATAATACTACACAATGTCAAGAAATAGATGAGCATTAGAGATGATATAATAACTTCAATGTTCATCGAAAGGTGAAGGAAATAGCTGGAAGGAATGTTCCGAAAACGCAACAGCGGATAAATAACAGATCAGGTTATGGCAAATACTTAAGATAAAAAGAAAATATGGGAAGAATACTTGGATAAACTTTTTCACGACCTTAGAACAATACAAGAACCCACTATTGAAGACAATTCAGGTCCCGAAATCCTACCAAAAGAAATAACGGAAGTCGTCAGACAAATAAAGGATAGAAATGCACAGGTACTTAATAATAACGGTACGTAAAAATAATAACTGAAATATTTAATGAAATAGACAAGGCAAAAATATCAGGAGCAAAAGTTTGTGAAGACTACAGGACCAGAAGCGTAATAAGCCATCAGCTGAAGCTGTTTTTAAAAGTCATCCACAACAGAAGTTACCTGAAATACGATAATCAAATTGCGCCCAATCAGTTTGGATTTGTGAACGCCGTTGGTACGAGGGAAGCTTTATTTAGTGTGCAGGTATTATTTCAGAAATGTAGAGATGCCAGCTGTGATGTTTTTGCATGCCTGATTGACTACAAGAAGGCTTTCGATAGTGTCAGGCATAACCAAATGATGGAAGTGCTGAAGAAGACAGGAATTGACGGAAGAGACCTAAAAATAATAGCTAACCTATACTGGAATCAATCAGCGGCGCTCCGAATAGATGGAGAATATACAGATCAGGTCAAAATCTTAAGATGAGTGAGACAGAGGTACATAATTTCACCAATGATATTAAAACTGTAATCGGAGTAGCTACATTTTTGAAGTCTCTAAAAGATATTGATGAAGGCATCAATAGCTTGCGCAGGTTATTGATGAAGCTCAATAACCTGAGGTATGCAAATGATACAATAGTGTTTTTCAATACCATAGAAGGGCTGCAAAACCTAATGACGGAAACAAGTAGAACATATGGACTGGATATAAACAGCAGCAAAACCAAGCTAATGATCATCAGCAAGGAAAACATAACGAGCAAATATGTATGTGAATCAAATGAGAATTGAACGTGTCTCACAGTACAACTACTTGAAAACTATAATCAATGAGTCGTGGAACAATAGAGGAAAGGCACCAAATTTGAGACACTTTTTTTGAAAAACAAATATAAAACAGAATATTTAAAATTTTTAAAACATTCATTTCGAAAACTTAAACTTAATGTTTCTAGAACACAACAAAACAAAAAAAAAGCGAATAAAACATATATTTTTGCAAAAAAATACATTTAATTTTTTTGCGACATTTAATATTAAAAATAAAAGGTGCCCTAATTTGGGATAGTCAGGTATCTAAACTTGAGACAGGTACCTTAATTTGAGATACTATTCAAAAAAGCCCTTTCCTTCGCAGAAAAGGCAAATAAATGTGCTGGACTTTATTTCTCCACAGTCTTCATGTGCCCACCTGCCACATTGGTAACACTTTGCCCATCGTTCGCCATATCTATCGTCGGAAAATTTGCCGGTGCAAAATAAACATTCCGCGTCGTTTTCTTCACTTTCGTTGGACGATGAATCAGCTAATGGAAAGTTTTCACTGCTATCTGAGCTTGAACTCGAAGAAACTTTCCGCTTCCTTCTTGATGTTTTGCCTTTTGATGTAGAAGGTTGATCTACGTCTTCATCTGCTATTTCTTCTTCGGGCATTGCTGTTTTTTTTGATCTAACACCTTTTGTTGAACTGTTTTTTTCTGGAGCAAATACACAATCCAAGTTTAGCTGGGGTACTAGTTTTTTTGCTTTTTTCTTCTGCAAACTTTGCTCTAATTCTTCTTTGTAGGGTGTTAAAGTAATTATTGAAGCCTTTCCTGATCTGGCATGTGGTTTTTTAGTTGTATCTTTCTCGTAGAATCTAGGAATTGGACAGATGTCTTTCGGAGAAACAAGTTGTTGATGAGGTAGTGGTGGACTAGGAGTTCTATGTTCTTGTATTGGATGATTTGCTTGTTCATGGTTTATTTCTATTATTTGTTCATCCTTTTCGTTTTGTGTTTCTAAGTGCTCTTGAATTCCAAATTCAAAGTCCCTAAAAATATGGCGACAAATAGGGACCAGTCCAGTTTTGCGGAAACCATTGCAAGATATTTCCATCGTCGCAGCTTTGTTATACGCTTTACAAAAAATACTGGCAACGGCGTAAGGCGACACAACACTCAACTGATTTTCTCTAAGCCAGTTTTCTATTGCTTGTGCATAGTAAGTTTTCAGCGGTGCCATAAAAGCAACATCCAACGGTTGCATTTTATGTGTAGAATGTGGTGGGAGGCAAATAATCGTCACATGATTCTGTTTGGCCAAATCTATTAGAGCAACGTTTCTCGTATGAGAATAGTGACCATCAAGGACGAGAAGAACAGGGTCTGCAGCTGAAGGTTTAGTGAATTTTATGAAGTGTTGAAGCCATCTAGTGAAAATATCGGCCTGTACCCAACCTGACACATGGCATTCTGCGATTGCTCCAATGGGAGCTCCTAGCATCAACTCTGATTTCATATTTTTTCTGGGGAAGATTAATAATGGTGGTACGAAAACTCCTGCAGCATTCATACATGTAATAGCAGTAATCAGCTTGCCCCTTTCTGCTGAAGTAAGTGACGAAACCTGCTTCTTCCCTCTCATGGAAATTACTTTACTATGTTTGTGCTGAACAATTGTAAGGCCCGTTTCGTCTACATTGAATATACGTTGTGCAGGGTTAGTAAGCTTAAGATATTCTGGTTCATACAGGTCAAAGAACTTGGATACATTTTCAGGAGTAAAAGATTTTACTCGTGCACATGACATTCCCTGAGGAGTACGCATTGAAAGCGCCGGATGTCTTTTCAGAAAGAGCCTTAACCATTTCTTTCCGGCTGTTTTTTTGACTCCGCTAAATGGATGTGCTATTGAGTTTCGTATTGCAAGTTGAAATGCCAGTCGTTTTATATCACGCGCTCTTAGTCCGAAATAACGTTGCTCCATAATTAGGGCATACTCAACCAACTCATTTTCTAATTCCAAAGGAAGAATAGGTCGGCGCCCAATTGATATCCCGACAAGTTCTTCTGGAGTCTTGTCTGATTTCACATATCGTTCTAAGGTACCTTTTGGTACTCCAAAAACTTTTGAGGCCTTCAAATAGCCCATCTCTCTATTTCTTACTGTATTTACAGCACGTATCATATTATCTGCGTTCCATTTTTTATTTTTTGGCGGCATCTACAAACAACAAAACACATAAAAATAAAAAATTTACAAGGGGTCCTAATTTGAGACACTCTCAAATTTGGAACCTACAGGTATCTCAAATTAGGATTTTTCCGTTAAAAATAAAACGCATATTTTTTGGTTATGTATGACACACAATTATCGTTTAATTTGCATAAAATGTATTAACTAATATTAAACTAACAAAAAAAAATAATTGGAGTAAATGTAATCATCTTACCTTGATGTATTGTAAGTTTTTAAAAATTCCGAAAAAAATTTGTGTAATGTGTAAATCAAATTACCGTCGACAAAACAACAAAGGTCACTTCTAAGCGTCAACTAAAAGCAGATCTACCATTACTTCACAGAATGATCAGTTTTTAATATTTTAACTAGATGTCACACTATCGTACACAAATATACGACGGTGTCTCAAATTAGGCGCCTGTCTCAAATTCGGTGCCTTTCCCCTACCTAAGAGATTAAATATCGCATCGGAAAAGAAAAAAGCGCATTTTTGAATATGAGCTCTATGTTCAAGAGCCATGACCTCATCCCGGAAACAAAAATAAGGCTCTTTAAATGTTACGTATACTCAGTGCCTCTGTACGGAGTAGAAACGTGGACATTGATGGCGAAAACTCTATCAAAACTTCAAGTTTTTGACCTATGGTTGTACAGAATAATCCTAAAGATAATTGAACAGACAAAGTCGTCAATGAAGAAGTATTACGGAGGATCAATACAACTGCGGATTTGGTCCACAAAGTGAAAGGCCGTAAGCTACAGTACTTGGGACATATAATGAGAAATCAAGGCAGATATGAGCTACTCCAAAGGATTTTGCAAGGTAAAATAGAAAGA